CGGTCAAAATCCGGCGAAGAAAAAGCGTTCTCAGTGACTTGTAAATCGATTTCGGACGAGTTTCCCGTACGCATCTTGCCAATCACCGCTACCGATACGGCTGCATATGTGTACCCATATATGCATGCAGCATATATTGGTACAATATACAGGGGGGGGGCCAAAAAAAAAAGTCATTTCGGCCGAGCCACATATCAACGAAGTTTTCGCAGCCCAGACAGGGGAAGTGGATATGAGTACCAGAGTGGAAGATACCCAAGATCTTCCTCTATAAGCTGGAGCAGGCTGCCGCCAATCGCCTTCATGTACGCCAAAATATGAAGTCATCTCCAGTCGCGGCCTGACTGGAGAACACCTTTGGAATTCACGTCGCCTCCGAACAGCTGCGAAACTTCTTGAATGAAGTCATCCACAGATAGCTACCTGGAGGTCAGTACTCTTGACCTGCAAGACCTCCCACATCGACCAGCTACGGCAACGTCGCTACGGTCTAGGACATCATCTTCACCGTATTCGCCGAGGCGCGAGTTGATGGTATGGACCGGGGTACCTGGAAAGGGGAAGACCGATATTTTCTTTGTAGACCCCGACTGAAGGTGAGCGCTGGCGGTTACATCAAGTAACTCGAGAAGAATATCCTCCCTACATGTGGTCGCCCGTACCTTCTTGGAGACCTTGTGCTGCTACAGGTTTGGGTGCCACATGGAATCAAAGGGTTTTGGAAAAACTCCCGCCTACTTCGAATGGAAGGGCGTTTCGTACCTGAAGAAGATGTAATATTAAAGTATGTCCCCTGACCTGAACCCACTCAATTACTTAGCTCGGGCGGACTTCAAGAGGGTGGTCTACGGTGGCGGAGAAATCGACGATCTCGCTCAACTCCGGTACCCACTCACTTTCGCGCGGCCGATTCTCTCGATGGCGCTCCTCCAGAAGGCTGTGGCGGAGCATCGTTATAGTATTTAATGTGCTCTTTAATATGGTAGTAAAAATGTCCGATAAAAATTTAATAAAGTGTAACTTATAGCGCCTTGAAAGTCATGGAGGCAAAATGACTTTTTTTTTTGGCCCCCCCCCCTGTATATGGCAGCCGTATCACGGCCGCTTCATACCAATCCCTTTGCTTCATAATTTGCTCAGCAAATGAATGAATACGAGCGTCAGAAACGGTCGTCCGTTTGTGGGCGGGCGGGCGAGGAAGGCGTTTGGGAGGGAATTGTTGTTACTCGATTTTGGCGTCTAGAGGTGAACCCTCTTGAAAAAGCGGCCACAGAGCGGCACTGTCCGAGGTCAACGGATGGTATTCTGTTAAGCTCAGTCATAAATAAATGCCTACATCTATATGCGATGTATCGAGCCATCTGCAAAGCGATTTATCGTGCCAACTGCCTTCAAATAACTAAAACTAGTGAGTTGCAAAGCAGTGGCTCCCACCGCTCCGACTTGGAAACGTGTTACCAGTCATAATGCTAGCAGTTTTTGTGTTGGATATAAGCAAGCTACATAGGTGAAATTTCCCCTTTTTTCGTGACGTGGGAAATTTGGGTTTTCGCAGTAAGAAGGTGGAAACCAGCCTGAGTTCAATTTCCACACCATTGCAGCAAGATAGCTAAGCCAAACAGAAAAAATAAAGTATTCAATTATTAAGGAACTATAAGATAAGCTGCGCAGAGGAGGTGGAAAAATTCACTGGGACAGTGAAGAACATTCTAGGAACCGAAGGAGACTTGCTCGAAGTGAAAGCACTGAACTGAGCGTAGGCTTGACGCACAAGCCTCCCTGTACACCAAGACCTTTTCCCTTTCTTGTATGCATCAGGCGCTCTACTTCTATGTAGTATTCGGTGGCACTTCGAATGCGGCATGGTCTACAATGACTTGCAGGGCAGGGACTAGGGACGTTCAAATCAGTATTTTCATCATTCCAGACACGTTTACTACTGAACACCTGTGACCACAAAATGGTAGGGACGGGTGTCCAGTGGTAAACGTGTGTCTTGGCTGGCTCCCTATCACACGATTCGACCACTGACACCGTACCTGAGGAGGCAACAGATTTTTTGGTCCGAAAAAAAGAGAAAATGCTAGCTCTCACATGTGATGGTCAAGTGGGCTCAATGGAAATACATAGAGGTACAATGACAGATTCAGATCAATCATTTCAAGAAGTTAGCCCAAGCTGCATGCGCGGGGCCCATCACCCACTGGTCCGACTACAAAAAGTCAATCAAGCGCTGAACAGAGGTCGTATTTTGCAATAATTGCTTACTGAATGCTAGTATGCGTCGTTTTACCCAGGTCATGAAGTGCTAATAGCATGCGTCGTTTTACCAGATCATAATCTCCCCTCCCTCGCTTCCTTTTTTTTGGGGGGGGGGGAGACTGGAAACCTCTCGGCCAACCTGAATAAACTTGTAAGCTGCGGAAGACTTAAGGAGATGGTGGTAATTAGGCTGCAGCATCACCTGAGACTGTCGTTTTTCCTGTCCATTGTCGTACCCTAAGTCGATGAGAAGGAAGGTGGTTTTCTAAAGAGGTTCTTCCCTGGGAGGAAATTTGAAGTGAGTGTCGTCTACCGCCGCCAGTTTTTCCACCCCAGTGCTGCACTGAAAGCCGGAGGGAAGATAGGTTTTCAGGCGTGCCTTGATTCTGAAGCAAATTTATCCTATACAGTAGTCTAAGGGGACCACGTGATGTTGAAGTTTGTTTTCTGTTTCTTAGCCCTTTCTATTACCGAGAACCCTGCTAAAATGGAAGGATTAGTTGACGTAAGCGACCTGATCGCAGGACCCCTTCATGCTACTGGCTCTTTCCTGCCATAGCTCGAGTGGGGTTTCAGACACCGAGGGCTGATGCGCCAAACCACAAAATCATCTGAAACCTCACCATGAACGTAGCTGTTCCATGTGTCAGAACAGGGTGCAGCATCGTGATTTGTGGAATCTTGGTGTCAGTATGACCCCCTCCTCGAAGAAGGGACTTGTTACGACCTCCCCCACTCGAAGGAGGGTCTCGGTACGACCCCCCCCCTCCCAACACCTACCTACCACTTTCCTACAAGTTCCCAGCTTCCTACTGGTTTTTCCGAAATTTCCCACATTTTCATGTTTTTCAAGTTTGTCACCTAAAAATTTTCGTCAGTCGGGAGAGGGGGCTATAGCCAATGTGGAACGGGAAAAACCGCGAAAAATCAACAATCGAGGAAAATTTCCTCCCAACGCGGTAAATTTCTCTCAAAGGCACATACGACCTCTCGTCTCGAAATGTTGCAGTCACTCCAACTACTCTCATCAAATGATTCAATGCAATAGCCCAGGAGGTCTATCCTTCGCAGGGGACTCGTTGATGCGTAGTGCCATTTTATTCCATCTGCCATTTTAGCCATGAAAATGGCGCAGATGGCGTTCAATTTGTTGCATCCGAAGGATGCAAAGACTAAAAGCCGTCTTCAGGGATATGGAAAACAACGTGTTGCTATTGATGTGTTTTGGCTACTGATGTCCAGCTGGCAGAAGCAGTAAAAAGAAACTATACGAGCACGAAGTAAAGAGAGAAACAGCTCAACGGGTGGTGCAGAAGAGTTCGGGAAAATAGTAATTGGTCCTCTGCGTCTCTGACGTTTTCCAATTTCTCTGCGCACGCGTAGGGTTCGTTTTTCCTTCTCGCCCACCGAGAATCGCTCTGGTGAACTTTCACGGTCGAAATCGTGGTAAATGGGAATTCTTTGTGAACGCAGCTGTGGTCTTTGCTTCACTTGTACAGCTCCATTCTAACGACATTTTAATTTCATACTGTTAGCAAGCTTAAATTTTCATATACCTCCAAGACAGTCCCCGCGCTCAACCTATTTGTAGGTGTCTTTCCTTGTTCGAGTAGTCTTTTCCGCAGCCTTTGAGACTCCCTTTAAAAGGAGGTAACGAAGACGCTGCGTCTCCCGTAAGAGGCAGTTCTGACGCCTCCCGCCCCGCTCATCGGAATTCGAAGGCTATGGCATTGGACACACGACGCGAAGAATGAATGTGAGCCAGAGACGGCAGAGTATCGCCTCATCGGCATGAAATGAGGGGGTCCGGAGAACTCGTACAGAGAGGTCGCCAGGGGTCCACACTCAGGGTGTTCTCCATGATTTTTTTGATGTTGCTGTTTCCTTTCCTGGAGAGTCACTTAGAGACTATAAGTTTGCAATTGAATACCTACCCACACTACCCACAAAACGCAATCGAGTGGTTTGTCTTAAAAGCAATCACGAATGTTACTGCTACTATTATATTGATGAGTGCCACGGCCGAGATGACACAGTATTAATTACAGTCCGCTTTGGTGTATCCCGAGAAGATGGCTGCGAGTCTGGTAGTCTGTGCTGTTCTGAGCCCCAGCCTGGCAATGGACAGGAACACATCACCGAGCTTTTGCACGTTCCTAATCAGTTACAGTAGAGCGAGGAGAGGAGAAACCCAAACGTTCAAGATGTTTTTATGGGAGAGTTCAGTGATCAGCTCATTCCGCGAATCTGAGAAGCGGCGAGCATGAAGATCTCGGAAAAATTGGTCGAACTCTCTTTTACAGAATGAGTTCATAAGACGCAAGAGGGGTAGTGAAAAAAGGCTCTGTAGCAAATGCAGTGTCAGCGGATCGAATCAATGATTCCGCTCCTAGTCAGGTCATTCATGGTTTGTACTAGATGCGCCTTGCACTGGATTTGAAACACGAGAGAGTACATCGGTGGATCCTCACAAACAGTTGTTGGACTCAAAAAAAGAACTCCCACATATGGGAGCGATTTCGAATATAAATCGTTTACGTTTCGCATCTCAAAATGGGACCATTGCGCCAACCGCTTTATACTTTCTGTACTTTACTACAACATTCGTGACATTGTTACGTCACAGTAAATTAATTAAGAGAGAAACGAAGCTGTTATTTCATCCTCGCACAGCATAGATCCTTCTACGCATCGCAGAACGCTGCATTTACCCAAAACGTACCGATAACACGAAGTGGTCAACAGTACGAGAAGAGATTGGAAGGGAAAGAAATGTATAGTAATGCTTGCAATCTAGCCAACCTGGCAATAAGATGTCGAAAGTCGTGAAGACCCAAACCATCGATATCGAACTTGCCGGTTCCTGCATCCGACACCTCTACGGCCACTTTTGTATCTTTACACCTAGTTCTGAAAAATAATTTACATGAACAGTTGAGGTAAGGGAATTTTAATACCCACCCCGGTAAGCTCCACACGTTTTAGTCAGGGCACATCATCCGTTAGGAATATGTCAACGGAGGGGTCGTATTTGGCTGCACGGGAGTAGAGATGTGTATGTCCCGAGAACATTTTTCGAACCTGATTCTTTTCCACTTCACGAGCTCTATTTATCTGCACTCCTTTGCTGGATGGCAAAACATAGGCAAGGTTTGGTCGATGTGGCAAAATAGTAAAGCGTTCTGTAGGTTGTGAAAACTGCCATTCCGAAAGATGACATTTGGGAGGGGAAGATGTGTATTCAGCGGAAATTTTCCTTAATGCAGTGATGTCCTACTTTTGGATTTTGGGACCACCTTATAACGTTTGAATATGCCTAGCTTCAGCACATACGGGGCCATCTTAGCCCACGTAGCAATATTACCGAAACATTCACTAAAGAATAACCCTCAGCCCTCCGAATGAAGACTCGAACCGAACGCTCCCTTAAGCCCCGCCGCGCTGACCTCTCACCAAAGCTTCTCTTGAGCGAATACTTGCTTGGAAAGACAAAAATAGCGAAGTGGTCATGGGAAGGAGTTACCACACTTCAATATGGCATACATCCCGTCAAGAAGACGATTGAACGGCCCATACACACATTAGTAGGTGGAATTCGACGACATTCTCGACGCGGTATAGTTCAGAACCGTGGGCGCAATTCGGTCTCGTGGGGCACCGAAAGGTACGAAGTCAATTTAAGCCTGTAAGTCCATCCTATTTAGACACGTCAATCCTTGTACAAAAGTGGCTCGAACGATTTCACAGCTTCGCAAGAGTACACAGATCTGACCAAAAGTGAGGCCTGTTAGCTAACAAGTGCTAACAAAATGAACCAGCGAAGTGCAGAATGCCCACTGCAGGCCAGACAGCGCCAAGCCTTGAGCTACCAAGCAATTTTCAACAAGCATACTGCAGGTCTATACTACATTCCCACTGTTTTGAAATATTGAGCTCGAGCAATCGACTAGATTTACAAACTTCACAGCGTCAATGTTGGCGCGCGTCATATATTGGAGCGGAATATAAGAAGCTTCGCAACAAGTATCCAGCAAGCATCAAATACTTACTAAAAGACGGCGACACGCCGTTGTGTTTTCCGGACAGATAGTGACGTCAGGAATTACGGGTCCAAATAGTTTCGATTTCGTTGATGCAGCCAATGGTTCCCTCAAACACTTCATTACAGTGATATTCGAAAAAAAACAGAGCCACTCTATAGCCAACAAAATCACCTGTACTGCATGATAAACTTCTCTTCTACTGCTGATGACGGTAGGCTTACAAGATAGTCGAAAGCCATCAGTAAGTGAGCATACTGAAAACTATTACAAATTTTAATACAAAACTAAGACAAATTCAACGATGCATCCACCCTAATGGCGCTTAAAGGCAGCGCCCGCGTTCATTTGTTGTTTCCACACCTTCTTTTGATATCGTAGCTCACCCCATAAGGATGGTGGACGTGCTAGTTTCGCCACTCAAAAAAGGCGAGAGAATTAGTGGCGCTTGCTCGTGAAGAGAGTCGGCCACACGCCGCACTAAACGCCAAACTTCATTTCTTAAAATGATGCCTGAATGGTGGCGTTTGTTCTGCTACCAAATGCTCTGCCACTTGAAGTGTGAAATTAGGTGATAAAGGGAAAACAACCTGATATCCAACCAAAATGAGAACTCGTGCGGCCGCGCCTTCTCTTCGCCTTAAGCACGTACATTCTCATCTCGGCGTGGGGTCCTATATAAGGCATATCCGCTGATTTTTTTGCATTTTTTTTCAAAACTAATGAACAACTTGCTGCCTCGTTGTAATTGTCTGAGCCCCATAACTGGTCGAACTGAACGCGGGCGCTGCCTTTAATGCACAAGTTTCCAATAAGTTCAAATACTGAAACCCGTAATACCTATGTTCTACTAGGTGACGGTCAAGCCTATCGAAGTCAGCCTCGCTGTCGCGCGCGGCGCCTCATGGGGCAATGGACGAGCCAGTTCGAATGTTAAACAGCGACAAGAAAGTTGACATCCCCAACTTCTGAACTCTCCTGCTTGTGCTCTACTGAGAGAATGGACGTCAGAATATCATAAATGCAACTACGCAAGGGAGATCGCTGGGCATCGACGCGACAAATTGCGATTGACTTGTCATAAATCAAGTTCTTTACACACTAGCATAGGACGATGTGAAAAGCTATTGAAATAAGCAACAACCAAAAAATGTAACAGAATCATGCGCTTATTATTTGTAGTGTACCAAGTGACAAGGAGCAAGCCAGCCCATTCTCGATGTTATGCTTGAGCCCAGGGTTGATGTGAGGACTGTGTGATGTGAGGAATCGCAATGCGACCTTCAATCAAATAAAAATTCTGAATAGGTTCTGAAGGATAGCCAATGCTCAAAGAAGGGCGAATACAGGCAAGCGAGAGAACAATCAACGCACATGCGATAAAAAGCTTGATAGTTCAGAGAGTTTATATTATACAGAAGCATGGTGGAATGCACCTCGTCAATGCGCTCGATACGTTGGCTCAAACATAAAATCACTTGTTTTCCTGAGAGAAAGGCGCTTATAACCTTAGGGGGAGGGCGCTTAGTGGTGGGGGACACACAGGTTACCCTTTTAATGTATACCCTTGCCTTCGACCTCTCTTCTGCCTTTTCACATCGCGTCTCAGCCTGCAGATCCTGTTGGCGAAATGGCACTAGCACCACTGGAACCCTCTCCCTTTTTCCCCTTATCTTGACCAGACATTCTGACACGTTTGACAGTTGTTTACTTGTGCTTTAGTTTAGTTGGGCTTGACAGATGACAACAAGGCTCACAGGGTGTTGAGAAGATGTACGTTTTCACATGTACACAGTAAAAGATTTGGTATGCTGACCAGCGCTTACGGATGCTGCCACAACCAAGGTTATTAGCGCTGAAAAGTATTATCGATCGTTAGAAATACAAGCAAGTCGATCGGTTTGCCCGTATTCGACAGCTTCAAAAATCCCAAAAAGGCAGGGTCATTCCCTGCAAGTCTTGGGACACAAACCGAGCAATCACTTAGCTGATCATGAAACTGCCTTTGGCTTCTATAAGGATTGTCAGAATGAAATTTTTACTCAAAAATATAAAAGGACATAAAAGAAAGACATCTGAAAATGAAACAGTACCATCTCGTCAGTGATCT